AAGGTGAAACATCCAAGCCCTGTGCACTTTTATCCTTCTGTCTTGTTTCTGCTTTTTTTTTTTCTTTTTTTTTTTTCTCTTTTTCCAAAGGACAAGTTTTGAGTGCCCTGGCAGAGAACCAGCTAACAAATGCTCCGCATTCCCCCCCTCTCAGAAAGATAGTCCTGTTATGTAGGGAGGAAGTGGAGTTGTGAAGGTGAAGTTGTGTATGAGAGAGAAAAACATTCTTCCCAATATATCAGGGTAGAGAGTTCTTGATAAAACTCTCAGCAATAATATATATGCTTTCCTACGTCAGTCTTCTATCCTGACCTCTTGCTGAAGTGAGGAAAGGACTTTCCTTGTCTGGCTTGCACTCCTGTCATCAAGAAACCAATTTCTGCCACCTGGTTTGATGGCTGTTGGCCCAGGACAGATTGTCATTTTCTTCTCCCTACATGTCTCTCTTTCCTCTTTCAATTTTTCTTTGGATCATCTTCCCTTTCCTCATCATCCTTAATTAAAAACATATACATGCACAACAAAAATTCTCTCATTTCTGACACATCATATCTTCCAGACTACACATACATTCTCTGTGTTAATTCCTTAGGGGTTAATAGGTTCACTTGCAATATTTCACTTTCTCTCCTCACACTTGTCTTTCCTACTCTGCCATATGTGTCCTAAAATCTGCCTTCAATTTAGTGCTTGTTAATTTTCCAAATAAAAATGGAGCTCTGAGAGCTTTCTCTTCACAACACCGTGCACTTAAATCATCTGAACACTGGGGAACATGAAGTTCACTTTGCCCGTTTTCTCTGCCTGCAGTGATGCAATGGGAAGGCAATTTTGTTCTCATGGATAGTTAGGGCATACTTCACTTAGCTCCAATATGAATCAGATTACATGCTCAGTTACTGGATTAATTCCCTCTTCTAATTCTGCATGGGATCCAATAGATAGGATGTAGACCAATTCCAGACTTAGAAGGCTTTTGTTGTTGGATCACATTTGGAAAGGCTTGATATCTGTCCTCTGGGGGATACAATGGTCCCCCCACATGTAGCAAGGTGGGAGTTGGCCTGGTTTCCCAGGTAACTAGCAAGAGGACAAGAGGTGATGGCCTTAAACTGTGCTGAGGAGGTTCAGGTTAGGAAAAAATTCTCAGAAAGCATGGTGAGGTATTGGAACAGGCTGCCCGGGCAGGTGGTGCAGTCACTGTCCTTGGAGGTGTTCATGAACCGTGTGGATGTGGCGCTGAGGGACGTGGTCAGTGGGCATGGTGGGGATGGCTGATGGTTGGACTAGGGGAACTTAGTGGTTTTCCCAACCTTAATGACTCTATGGTTCTTTGTCAAAATCTACTATAGTGTAGAGTTTTTATGTGCAGTAGATTAAGATTATAAAAACGTTGACTTGTAAGCCACTGATGTCAACTCTGTTTTTATTTCCCTCTGTGTTAAAGAGTTATAACAAAAATATATGTAGGTTTTCATGGACTGTAACTTCTGGGGGCAAACTGAATACAACCTTATAGCACTCCTAGCTTAATGTCTAGTTTCTTCTTTGTGTATTTTTACCTTTACAGTGTAAAAAGCAATCAACTGTGGTAGCTATATCTAGCACACAACACTTAAACATTGACCTGCTAGAATGTGCTTATTTTCTGGTTTGTCCATGACAAGGAATACATCCAGATGTAACATAAAGTGTTTCTATGAAAGAACAGAAGACATAATAATAAAATCAGCTGTAAGAATAAAGAATCACATAAAGCTACTTTAATGAATCACATTTGAAAAAAAAATATTTTTTGTTTTTAATGAAATCCAAGTTATCCAATCTAATCCACCCTCTTTGGGTGCACTCTGGCATATTTTATCAATATGGTCAATCAGATGAACTCTGGGATGTTTAAGTATGATATATCAACACTATTTGTTCTCTGATTGATATAGGTAATGACCAGTTTCCTGTAAATCATACAAAAAATGTGCGCCATAAGTGTGTGGATGTAAATCATGTAATATCTCCCAATTCAATTCACTTTTCTGACCTTTTTTTCTTAAAATTTTAACTTTTAAAAAAAATTATTTTAGTTTTTTTATTTAATGGAATTGCAATACAATACTGTTCTTCGATTGCAGGGCATCACTAAATGAGGTGGTCTGGCTATAGTTTTTGTTAGCTAATGGCCTTGAGAAGAACATTGCCAGTGAAGGCAGTGAGAATTTACTGCATCAGTGAGGACTGAGTCACTATTGCTTTCTTTCAGATAGAACAGAGGACAGAAAAACATTTTTTCCTGATGAAGTCAGACCACTAAGGTATTTCTATATAGTTAGTTACAAAGTCCCATTGGTCTACAGGTTCTATTCTGAACTACATGCAAGCCAAATCCATGACATACAGAAGCCCAAACTTGAGCACAGGCATTAAGCTTGACTGAGGAATAAAATACAGAATTTTGTGCTCAACTTTGTGCTGATTTGGTTAGAGAGCTTTTAGGATGCTAGTGGTTCTAAGCCAGCTGGTTCAGAGCATGGCTGGAGTTACTGACCCAGTATCTTCATTTCATGAAGTAGAGATGCTCTTCTTCAACGAGAAAACCTAAAGGGAGTCTGCATTGCTGAGGTGTGAGGGTTGTTTTTTAAAAATCTTTCTGGTACTGAAAACTGAAAAGAGATCTTTGTATATATTCAAGCAGCAAGAATAAGGAAAGTTGTGAGTCTCTTGTTTTAACGTCAATTTAAACAAGCTGAAATCTTGGCCTGTAAATGATTAATTCAAATTACAAAAGTAAACAGGGGAGGAAGTTGGTGAAAACTGATGTTATTTATGGAAGGGCATCCTTAAAACCGTGTTGCAGTGGGAAGTTGGAGACACAAGCATCTGCTATGTGGATAAATTTAGTTATAAAACCTGGTTCCCTTATAGTCAGTGGAGCATACCTATTGAATCTGGGACTTAGCTCACTTGCTTTCCATGGAGAATTTTTGTCTTGTTTGAGCAGAACTGGAATTTTGACAGAGATGTTTGATTGGAATAAATGGAGCATTCCTATCAAATGCAGGTAACTAATGAATCCATGGGTAAGCTCCATTAATTTCAATACAGTGCTAAATGTGCTAAATGTTATGAGAGAGAGGTTGTTGCATACGTGCACTTAGCAATTTTCTTAATGATAAGTTCTAGCTGATTTTAAGTTCTATCATTTTATATTCCATAAGGACTGTGAATGAGCAATATTTCTGAATATAAGAAGGTAAATGAACATTTATTCTGTGACATAAAAAACATGAAAATTATCTGAAATAACTTTTTTGGTAGGATTTCCCATTTAAAAAGAGTTTCAGCTGCTGCCTTCATTTCCAGATAAACTGTTTCAGCCCAGAGAAAATCTGTACCAATTCTCAACACAGAACAAATTTTGCTCATATAATAATCCCGTTTTCTGCCCCCCCCAGATAAGATTTATGGTATACACAAAACCTGGTAGCAATAAACAGCTCGAACAACAATGGCATGAACAGGATGGTATAATTCACAGTCTTATTTTGCAATGCATGATTTCCCATATATTTATAGACAAAGCTGATATTGCAAGAAGAAGCACTAATATAAAATTCACTTATTTACTAAATTCGTCAGTGGTAGAGTCTTTCAGTTCATGGAGTTTTAGGAAGTGTAACTTTCAACATAGACAAGCAGCCAAGAAGGTATGTCAGTGAGATAAAACAGGCAATTCGCCCTCATCTTAGCATCCTTTTGAGAAATACCATTGAATGAATTGCACAGCATTTCATATTTAATTCCATTTATACACATTTAAAGAAAGTATTTTGTCCGTTCCATCTTTCTGCATACTTTCCTACATCCCATCTCTGCCTTTCTCAACTTCCTGTGTAGACTTTGATCAACGTAGCCTCTTGATAGAAAATTGAATCCTGCTGCAGGTTTTACAGTAAAGGTACATAAGTGCAAATCAGGTAACTTTTCTTGACCTGTCACTCAGTCTTCTCAGATGCCTTCTTGAGCTGTGGAGGGGCAAACCATGCACAGTATTCCAGCTGCTACCTTACTAGCACTGAGTAGAGAGTTATATTAACTTTTCTTGATCTGTTGGCCATATGTTTAATGTAGTCGATTTTATTTTATCTGTGATCAGAGTATGCTATTGGCTCATTTTCAACTTGGCACCTTCCCCTCCAAGTTCTTTTCAGCAAGGCAAAAATGTCTACAAAGATATATATATCCCTGTTGAGGAAGCAGGAAAAACACAGTTTTTAAAAACAGAAATACATTCTTCTTCTTCTCTTGTTTAAAAAAAAAAAAAAAGGAATAATAATAATACATATCTAAAATGTTGAGTATGTGGTTAGAAAGAGTGATTATAGTGAAAGAAGGAAAAAAACAGAATCTGTTGCAAGGTATCTCCAGGTGAAGCAGAATCTCTAAATTTGAGTAAGTCCTAAATTCTATAACTGGCAACAATTTATTTGCCCTAAAATACAAAATTAGAAGCTTTTTGAGAATATCTTCACAAAAAATTGAAATACAAAGTTAGAACTGCAAAGAGAGTGTTATCATCACTCATACACAGGCTTCTATATCTGTCTACATATTGTCACAATACTAATAGAGCACGCAAGATAAACATTTTTTTTAATTAGTTATAAGCAAAAGGTTGCGTTTTTGATTTTTTTTTTTTAAATAATCCTCCATGGGATGCCATTTATGCATGAATCTTTTTGCTGAAAAGAAATTGTAAAAAAACCTATAAACAGAAAATGAGGTTCTAGTGATATAAGTGAAATTTTGCCATTAGCCATTAGATGATAAGTAGGCAGATTGGCTGGATATTTCTTGAAATCCTACATAGTATGCAGAACATGCTTTCATTGTGCTTCCTGGCAGAATATGAAAATATGCCTTATTTGGAAACATAATGATCAGTTCTGTTAAATCATGTTCAATCAGCTTATATAATAACACCTATATTTTGTTATTCATTTCAGATTTCAGAGACCTATGCCTTCCTACCGAGAGAAGCGGTGACACGATTTCTAATGAGTTGCTCAGAGTGCCAGAAAAGAATGCATTTAAACCCAGATGGAGCAGATCATAAAGGTAGTTTTAGTGTCAAACAGTGAGATGTAAAGTAATTTTATTTCTAATACCATTTATATTTTCCTTGCTTAAGTGAAGGTTCATAAAAATTTGGTAGACTGGAACAGTTCAATAAGTCAGATAATCTCATTTACTTAAGCTGGAAGGTAGCGAATCTTCTGCTTTTGCTTAAGGATGGAGTGTAATACCATGTGCACCCCTGACAGAAAAAAATGATTTTATCTGGAGGAAATAGTTTATTTTGCTATGGAAATGTTTATATGAAGGCTTAAACATAAGGAATAGATAGGATGCATGTGTTGTAGTCATTTAGGATAGAAGAACTCATCACTTTTCAGGTTTCGAATTTGATTTTCATTTTTCTTTAGGAGATTTCCATCTGCACAGCCTACAAGCAATTGAAAATGCCAAAGTTAGAACTGAATGACATAACTGTCTGCCTTTGACTGCAAAGTAGGCTGAAGTAGCCTCCACAACTAACATATAATGCATAATAAATATTTTTATTACAGATAATGGGAAACCGCCAACACTGGTGACCAGTATGATTGATTACAATATGCCAATTACTATGGCCTATATGAAACACATGAAGCTACAGCTACTAAATTCACAGCAAGATGAGGTACAAACTGAAATCTTTTAAGTTTGTTTTTCTTTTCTCATGTATTCTTTGATGCTTGTCTTTGTGGTAGCCAAGAAACAGAACTGAAAGTTGATGTCGATGTCATCTTTATAATTTGCTACAGTAGTGATGGATATCAAGCCAAGACTGTGTGCAAGTAATCAGTAATCAGAGAGAAAATGTCACGACTTAATGCCCTTCCATGGTAATATGCTGTACTGCTTCAAAGAACCTGAGGGTGCCCTTTCAATGACCAGAAAGGATGAGGGGGGCTGCTGAGTATAGCCTTAGTGTTATGTTCAGGAGTGACTTTCATTGTTTACTTCTTGAAAGCAATACAATTTACAGTTGAAATGAATGCCATGATGCTCTCCAGGTTAGTAGCCAGATACAATATATTTTGGTGGGAAGCCCTAGCCACATCAGGTCCAATCTTTAAGGTAAAAAGCTTGCTTTATTGATAAATAAGAGTAGAGTTTTCTCATGAAACTTCAAATAAAACAGAAGGGAAAAAGAAAAAAGTAGGCTGATTAAGTTTCTTCAGGGAGAACTTAAGTCAAATTGCAGTTATTTTATTCCAAAATAATTTCTGTGATTTATTCCGATTTTTCTCGAATCTTAAGAAGTACTTCATCAATTGGAGGTCAGCTATCACGTTATTTGTAATAAACTCATTTTGCTACAAATGTGTTCATTTACCATTTGAGCTGCCAAATATTTAGAAGCCCCGCCACGTGCCAGCCAAAAAGCAACCCTACATGCTGTGTCCTTCTGCCTGACTACAAGATTGTTTTTAGTAAAGAAAATAACCAAAAACAACCTTAGCAGCTGGATTATGTCAGAGACTCCGACTGACTCTTGACTTCTGTGGAGTCAGCTAGGTTTTGTTTCACAATAGGTAGATATTGGCTACTGGTGGAGATGTATGAATTATTCAGTGTCCCATAGACTGGGAATCTTTGTTTCACTTTTGCCTGTTTTATTTATTTATTTTTATTTTTAAATTTTATTGTGAAGGGTAGAGATCACTTACTGAGTTCTTCATTCACAAATATAGCCTAGTCTTCTTTCCCTACTATGGAGTCTCCCTTCTGTGTGCTGCCCCTTTACAGGAATCTGACAGCAGGATTCCAAGCAGCAGGAGGTAAGAGGCTTTATCCCTGTAGTAGCCTTAGAGGTTGAAGGACTCTTTGGTTTCCCCACTTCCCCTCTTTGACAGTTACTCATCCCACAGTAGGGTCAGGCACTCATGATGGATCAGGGCGATCTGCCACAGTGCCTCTATAGCCCAAATGTTTTGGTATAGTCCTTCTGGACTGATGACTGATATTTAAACTGTTTTTTCATCTAGATGAACCAGTGACAAAGATACAGGGGCAGCAGGAAGCAGCATTGCTTGGTATCTCCCTGCCTGGCTCAGTTTTGTAGCTCTGATCTCACTGTGTATGAAATATCTGCAGTACTGTTTTAATGAAGAGAAAAGTAGTTTTTAATACATTTTAGTCACGTTATATTTTCCTGGAAACAAAGGAAGTCCTCAAGATAATAATTTATGTCCTTTCTCAAAGCAGTTTTGCTAAGAATTTATTTTTTGCTCTGGACTATGCATTTGTTACACTGAGAAAGAAGTGGTAGTGAAAATATTATGTTGCAAAGCAGAAAGAATTCATGCACTTGAAATTGTGCTTGGGTTTATAGGAAGGCTCTGTTTCCAAGGTTTCATCAGTCACATCTCTGTTCTTATGGTGGGGGCGGAATTGAGACTGGAGTGAACTTAGATGCCACAACGAGCCAGCACAGCAATTGAAAGTCTCCAAATTCTCTCATTCTCAATTCATCATTTTTCATCTGAGGCCATCAACAAAAGGGAAACAGGCTTAATCTAAAAGGAGAATTCATTTACATGTGGGAATTTACAGAGGTGCTGCATCTGGTATAAAGAGGCCAGTGGCCACCAGTTCTGCTCCCCACACCTGCCTGTACAAAAAGTTCTACACAGTTCATAGTGTGAGGTGGAGATATTCTACACACTGCCATAGGCAAACAGGCTGCCTATGTGTGGTGTTGTTTTATACCTATTCAAGTATCAGTTGCCTGATTGGCAGCCCACATATATAGCCCAACCTCAGAATTAGAAAATGAAAGCCACTGCTTGCTGACTCCTGCAGGGACAAATGAGAAATACCACCACTGTGCTTCAACAGAGTCACAGTGTTCCAGAAGGTCTGGAGAAATTTGTGTCCTGATCTCGCTCTTTGAGAAAGCAGCACACATTTCTGCTAAATCCCAGCACCAGATCACAGTGCATCTTGGCCCCGCCTGTCTGGAGCACGAGCTTGGTGGCCACCGGCTTTGCACAGCTCTCATGTTCCTGATATTTACTGTGCTGTAGCTGAGGTGTTTCCTTCCCCATCCAGGCAAGGTAAAAAAGTGCCCACAAGAGAATCCCTCTCTCTTCCATTTTTTTTTTTTTTTTTAATTAGAACTTTAGAAACAAGCTATGTTTGTTTCAATATTTGACATTGTCCTGGAGTGATAGTGCAGAGCAGTACCACCTTGCATATTGTCCCTCTCTTACTCTTGGATGGCATTTGGCAGTGCCATCCTCTTTCAACAAGAGATGCAACTGCAGGAAATTTTGCTTCCAAAAATGAGAGAAATGCCCACACAAGCTGGAAATGACACTAAGATGCACAAGATGAACTGACTTAAGGTCCAAGTGCTTAGACAGAAGAAAGCAACTATATTAGCATCTGTAGAAACCAGTTCACAGTAAATGCACAATAAAAAAAAGTTGTTGTAAATGTTGCCATTTTTTTAGGTCGCTTCTGATAAGCAGCCCAAATAAAAATAGTCTGAGTTCTGCCAGATAGTTTGGTTTTAATTAAACAACAACAACCAAGCAAATAATAATAATAATAAAAACATATAAATTGGAAAAGTATTTTAATCCTCAGTGGACACTATTTTTTCTATATGTTCTTTAAATGGCTTTTATTCACAATAGGAGCCATTATTTCAGAAAAGTTGTTATTGAAAATACATTGCCATAGGTTTCTGAGTTGCCACTGCAGCTTTCAGAACAAGACTCATGAGAGCTAAATTTTTAATCTGTGAGTGGATGCAGTGGGACTGAAATGAGTGAAGTTAAACGTACTATATACACGTTAACCCTGTGTATAAACATATTCTGGACTAGGTCTCAAACAGTTTTGTAACGGGACTTTCTGACTGGGACTTTTTCCACGCTTTTATCATTCCTAGTAGAGATTTTGTAATTGGACTTGATAGATAAATCATATAAAAGATATGTGAGGTAGAATAAATTTCAAGTGATTCCCATGTGATTGTATTACTTCAGTTCTCCACTGACTTTTGAGTCATTTGAGCATGATAAACAGTCTTCAAAATTTTCACGGATGCTTCCTTAAACATAATAGCGGTGTAGGGGCGAAGTTGTATTGAGGAAACTTGGTTGTGGATTCTTCTTAGATCATTTTGAAATGTTTTACTGTAAGTGAAAATCACAGGGTTACCTGCCTTGCCTGGGAAAAATAGGGAATTCAGGTACAGACTATGGAGAACACTCCTCAACCATGTTTTGAGTAACAAGGACTTTGCGTGGGGTCTCCAGTTGCAACCCTATTTTACAAAATGCTATGGAAACAGTTACGAGTGTGGTAATGGAGTGTCGTCATAGTTGATCAAATTGCATTTGTCAGACTAACATATCACATAAGTGCTGCATGTTCTTTGCTCTTCTTTATGTGCTCTGCTTGTTTGCATATGTACACAAGCATTAGCATGAATATATTCCATGCCAGGGACAAATGAAATGGAGTGAGCCTCACATGCAATTTGAACAGCATCCAGCATTTTCTGACATGTCTCTGAAACTTTCAAATTATAGGATGAAAGCTCTATAGAAAGTGATGAGTTTGATATGAGTGACTCTACGAGGATGTCAGCTGTGAACTCTGACCTCAGCTCAAATCTTGAAGAAAGAATGCAAAGTCCTCAGAATCTCCAGGGCCAGCAGGATGGTAAGGCTCTCCTTTCATACAGAAAATGTGCTATTGTCTTGTCTCCTTCCCATTCTGTGCTTTCATTTAGTACCTGCTGTGTCCTTCACTTTATAGTGTGTTTCATTAGGTAATTTGAACTATACGTTCCCTTTGTCTCAGCATGAAGAGAATTAAGTTGGTTGGTTTTTTTTCCTTTCTTTCTTTTTTTTTTTTTTTTTTTTTTTTTTTTTTTTCCCCCCAGGTTAATTTATTTGTTGCTTAGGCAACAGGTGAGTGGTTAGACCACTGTTTAGTATTATTTTACTATTTTTATTTACCAAGTGTGATTCTATACAGACATAAAAGGAAATGAAACTGAAACCTTTCCAGGGCAATCCAGAGGCTGAGAAAGTTGTTTTTGCTGGTTGAAATGGGGAAGAAAGAAGAAGGATATAAGAGAAGTTTGAAAGCTAGGAGCTGGGTGTGTTATTCAGAGAAAAGTATAAAAGACAAGTTCCAACAGGGAAACAGATGTGCAGAAAATAAAACCAACAGCATTATAAATCTGAATATTAATATTTCTAGTTTAGTTGTAACATAAAGCTAATTAGTTGGTGAAAGAGAGAAGTTTTATTTTGTGCAAAAGGTGAACAGAGGTGTGTTTTTTTACTCTTTGTTGCCTGGTTTGGACTCAGATTTCTCTTTGGTTTGGAGTTCACACATAGCTTGTCCTGTAAAGACTGTTACAGTGATTCATCAGTGGCACGAGAGGGAGTAATACCCAAAGTGCAGATCTGTTCTATTGCTATTAAATATAACATGATATTCTGTACTTGTTATGCCATAGTTTCCTAAATATGTGTGTCAACTTAGAAATGCTTACATTTCTCGGACAAGAAGTATGTGGAATTTGATAGTTAAGCTGGATTTTTTCCACTTAAAGCATCATCATCAGTTGTTAGCTTGTAAGTTCTGTGGGTAAGAACGCGTGTGTTGCATTGAGGCTGACAGGATCTGGTCAAGGGCAGGAACTTCTGCTATGTCACTTTATAGACAAAAAAAACATTGAGAAGTATGTTTATGATAATTTCCTGTGCCAGATTTTAACCACAGCCACTTTTTCTCTTGGTGTCTTTAAATTATCACAAAATGTGTGCAAGTATGTTGACTAAAGGAGCAGCACTCCAGGACTAGGGGAAGATAATTCACTTTGCTGATGGAGTCTGACATACTACTGCTAAGTCAGAGTTTTCAAAGATACTTTGGAAACTGTTGAGTTTATGTGTCTGGCTTTGGGTGAAAAACTGTTTTAGAGGTTACTGTTTACATAAATAATATGTTTTCATATGAAATATTTCTTGATAGGTAATTAAGTGCATGTACGCATATGTACATGAGGTAGAAATTACAGTGCAACAACCTATGGAGAAATGCCTGTCACACAGGTCTTAATGCATTCTCCAACAAGAGTCATGCAGTACATCTGATCATAGCAGAACATATGTATGAATGATAAAATGCTGAAAATCTGTCACTTGCCATTTCATACCTGTGGCAAACAAATGCACTGTGATTTGATCTATAGGTAGCGTGATCGTACAGAATTGCATCAAGTCTCTCTGCTTTTTTCCTCTTTTCCCAAATGGCACTTTCTCACCTTCCTAAAGCAATCCTATTTCTTTTGCTGTTTCTTCTGACTAAAACATTTTCTGATAAAGAAATTTGGAATAACACCTCTTCCCGCCATGGTTTTCCAGTCTTAGATGCCACCAAGTTGCAAACCTGAGTGACGGTGGTTGTAGCAGAACTGTGTTTCAAGATAGGCAAGAAGAAGCTGAAGGAGAAACTGAAAGAAATTGTGGGAAGGAGAGGAAAAAGGAAAAATAGCAGAGGGCAGGAAGAGAAGAAGATTAGAAGAAATCAGTGAACACTGGAACATAGGGAAGGAAACGGTACTGGAAGGAGGGAAGACAAAGGGAAAAGTCAATGTAGTAGCAGTGTTCTTTTTGCTGTCACAGTTTTTACTGAAAATTTCCCAAATGTACACAATTACGGTGCATGCTCACAGAAGTTAGGACTTAAGTGCATATGTGTGTGTCTAAAGTGATTCCTCTCCCTTTCCCTCAAGCTATTTTATATGTCTGTGAGAGTTTACGTCAGCCACCAGATTAAGTCTGCCTGTAAAGACATCTGGTGTCTGGTTTATCTGAAACACGTTTGCTGCATTCTGGCAGGTGGAAGTTTACCGCTGTGTGTGACTTTCTGTGCATACAAGGCTAGGAATGGTCCCTGTGGTGGAACAGGAGAGCACACATCTTTTGCTGCCACAAGTGTGCTCTCACTGGGGTAACGGTCTGCTAATGGGAATAATATGCAAATAGGAATCACTGCTGCCTTGGGTTGGATTAAGGACAGATCATCAGTGGCTAGAGGTTGCACATGCTGTCACTGTGTGTTTACATGGCCTTTCATCTAACATGGCCTAAGAATATTTTGGGATATCTATCATTCTCTTCCCATGGATTTCAACTGATTAATGGTATGATATACACGGAGTTGGTGTACTCTAGGGGAATGCATAGTGGGCCTGACCATGCCACTGGGGTTTAAAAGAAGATACCCTCTCCAGGTCAGTTATCAGAGCACAGCAGCATACTGACACTATAAACATGAAAGAAAACAAGATGTTTACATACCTTCTTATCTGGGGCTATATCTGCACCATATTCAATCAGGTATTTGGAAATCCACTGCAGAGCTCATACTAGAAAATTTGACCTCCGATTTCTCAACAATGTCTAGTCTAGTACTCTGTGTTCTTTTTCTCATGGTTAGGTCATTTTAACCTAAGTAGAATAAAGGCAATTACAAGAGCCACCCACAGTATGGGCTGAAAGTGATAGACTTCTGCATCCAGAAATATCATGGTCAGCAGGAAGACTGCTGAGAGAAGATACAGAAGGGGAAAGTGTGTATTTGCTTGTAACAGATTGGGTGTTGCACTAAAAATGGGTGTAGGTACTGCATAAAAATCCTGAGCTCTGCAAACGTGCCAAAGCTTTGTGAAATTCACTGTATAAAGAATAGTAGATTAAAAGTGAATGAAAAAAAATTAAAAATAAGGACAGCTAATATATTTTGCACATAATAGTGAATACACAACAATACTGTGAAAGAGAATTCCCACTTCAAGTTAGCCTTTGAATGCTTTTAAACAACAGAACCCTGAGTCACACCTGCTAGTGGATGGCTGAAAATAGCATCCTGAGCACCTGCAGGGCTGCTGCAACTGTGGGGGAGGAGTTGGAAAAGAGCTGCTGCTCTTCCCTGGGGAGTTGGAGAAGGAAAGCAGCTCTAATTTGCAATTGGTTTGTTCCCCAGCTGCGAGTAGGGTAGGGCTATCTGGTTACCAGTCCCCGGGATCTGCTTTCCCTAGCAGCCAGCTGGTTTACATGGCTGAAAATTGCTGAAGTGTGCCTTTCTCTTTTGCACTTGCTCCCTTAGTTGCTCCTATTTTCTTATTCACCTATTCTGGTTGTCTTCTCTTCACTTTGTTTCCCTATAACATGCTACGTCTTTTTTGTCCTAAGTTTGTTCTTAGGGTGAGCGCTGCATTCTGGCTATCTGCAGGCAAAGCTTCTGCTTGAGGGATGGCTTTAATTCTGCTTTTTCCTAATAATGCTCTAGAAATGCTCTTGGATGTAGCTGGATCAAAACGTTTTTGCTCCTGTTCAAGAGTGTAGGCAGCAGACAAGATTTGGCAACTGAACCTGAAATAAAGGAGCTTGTTTTGGTTTTGTTTTTTATTTTTCTTATTGTATTAGGAGCTCTGCGCTTGAACCTAAAAAAATTTATTTATTTATTTATTTATTTTGGTAGAGAACATGTAGAACTTGTTACAACTAGAAGTAATAAGGAGCAAATGTTATGCTTTATGCTATGAGCCACTGAATAGAAAACAGGTATGAGTCTATTTGACTATAACTTTGTGCAAGATGGAGAATCCTTCTATTTACAGTATCTTTAATTCTACCAAAGTGCAGCAAAGCATTTTAATGCTTTTGTTTGGATTTGAGTGGAGGGTTTCTCTTTAATACAGTTAGTTGAAAATGATGCAGTTGGATAAATACTTGTAAACATATAGAGCTCCCCCTCACAGGCACTGTATAGAGACTGTGCTTGTAGGAGATTGCTATAGCAAAATATGCTATGATTCAGTATTTGGCAGGAATTTTACTGTGATCTTAGATGAGGAAATTAGGAATAAGCTTTTCCCAGTTGTCAATGTACAGCATATGGTGTAATAGTACTGTAATGTGATGGACAACTGCATTCAGGTAGTTTGTGGTCATTTGGATCATGCTGATGCTCTTTCCCCAGCATGTTCACATTGCCAGGCTTTCCACAGTATGTGTTTAGGAGATGTGGTTGTTGGCATTAACCATTTCCTCCACACAAATGGTGTTTGTGACAGATGGAGGTATTTATCATGTAAGTACCGTTTTGTACATCGAAGTTGTAATCTTTAATTAACAGCTTCACCTGAATTAATATTAACTGATTCAGTTGTTAAAGCTCCGTCTGTGCAGGGTGCAGTTTGCTGGACCCACACCTGCCATTGTTTTGTTCTCTCTGAAATGAGCCCTAACCAAATTCTGAATTGGCTGTACTGTAGTACTTTTTTCTGCTTTTATTTTTATTCCACTGAAATCTGGACTCACTGTCTTACGATACTGAGTTTTCTTTTTCCACAATATGACTTAAGTGAAATGCATGGGATCAAGCATTAAGTGAAATGTATGAGTTCAGGCCAAAGTGAAAGCAGATTGGCAAAAGAACGTACTGGGGTAAATCGTCCCTGGTGTTGCCTGTGTTTTTGCCATGCTCTTGATGTTGAGTAAAGCAAGTAGTAAAAATAAAAACAACGTGCAAGCAGAAGATTCTCAACACTAAACCCACTACAATATTTTTGCTGCTGACTAAGACATCTCTATGGAAATGCAAATGCTATTTTACATTAAGGGATATTGTCACTAGTT